AAATAGAAAATATGGTATACCTTTCCTATATATGCCCATTTAGCATTGCTATGTTGGATAAAATATATTTTATTTTAGTATATTCATAAAATAATTTTTTCAGTTGGAAAGAAATATATAGTCTTGCCACACATAAAATCTTAAAAAAAAAAAAAAGAAGATAAATCATTTGTAGCTCTAACATCCAAAGACTTGTCTTGTTCATTTAACACAACAGTGAACCCCTCAATCTTCTCCTCATGTGTAATATTCACATAATTTTATCATATGGCATAGGTAAAATTGTACATGCTGATTTTCATAATAGCGTTCATTTTTGTGACAAGAAATATACAGTTTATTATAAATATACAAATACACAAAGAAATTAAAATCACCCAGAATCTCATGACTCAGATATCCTCATTTACTATTTTATTTCTTTAAATTTTTTTTCTATGCATAATTTAACATGGTTAAGATTATATTACATATTCTGATTTTAAGTACAATTAACCCAAGAAGAGTCATTCACAATTCCTAGTTGGAAGATGTTATAAAGAGGTTTTAATCACAGATTATATCTGCCACTGGTAGGTTATTCATTTTTCATAATTACAAAAAACCCTATATACTCAGGTCATTCAAAATGAGTTCTTAGAAGCATAAAATTATTACTCAAGTTCTTTGTCAATGCAATTTTTTTGTATTGCTGAATAAAAATCAGTTTCAATGGAGGGATAAAAAAAATACTTTCTGGGTTTAGTAATTCTACAAACACAATGCCCTGTCATTTAAATATTGCAGGCCCTTTTTTTGTACTAGAAAAGAAGTAGGTTGTATTGTTTTAAGTAGAAGGTGATTCCATCTGACCCATGGGGTAACGAATATTACCCAAAAAAAAGTATTTCCTGATTCTGAAAAAATAGCAAAACCCAACAATAACAACTGATGGAAAAGAGCAAAAACCAACAACAACAACTAATGGAAAGGTTACAGACCCTAGCTTTTTTTGCCCCTGGGTTATAAATCCATTTGAAAATACCTAATATAATTAGATTTTTTTTATTATGGAATCTAAACAGAATAAAAAGCTGTTTGTAAATCTTTTTACATCATGGTTTCCAAGTCCTTAATCCTTCAGTTGGCTGGAGTAAAACTTTGAGTAATTTTTCCAGTTGTGTACAGCTTGGCATATTGCAGAATTTGTAATATTGTCTTCACAAATCAACGCAATTCTTGGGTTGTGACGTCCCCAATTCTTAATCTTCAAAACTCTGTAGGTGGGCATCAGCTTCTTTAGTTCTCTAGGGGGAACTCTGAGGCCAGCCTGATTTTTGTTCCTTTGTAGACTAATTTTGAACCCAGATGCTTAAAGAGCTTTCTTTAGCCTCACAATTCAAAAGACAAAGGGGGAGTCTAAGGGTAGACCTCTTTTCTTGGACCATATCAGGACCTCTGTGAGTCCTTTCCATCTACATTCAAGACTTTCTTTGCCTCAGGAAACTTTCTGCTTATTACATCTCTGATGGCCCCTTTTGTGCAACATGGAGGGTGAGCTCTTCCTCAACAGCACCAATGATCATGTTCGCTCTTCTCATTCCTCTGGCCTCCATCTCTACCCTACCCCACATCGTTTTAATCTTTATCTTATTTCCCTCCATATCCGAGAAAAGTTGTATTTTGTAGTATCTGTGCACCACCCTGCGTAACTTCATTACAAATTTCTAACCTCCGACTCATTTCTAACTTCCATACATTCCATTATTTCATATTTTTTAATTCATTCTACATTGTTTTGTTTTTACATCAACACTACCGCCTTTTTTAAGGTGGTACAAATGTAAACATCTCTAATTGAAAAGATGTTCTTATTTCCGCCAATTTTTCCTTTATAAGAAGAAAAATTTGATCCAAGCATGGTGGCTCAAACCTGTAATCCCAGCATTTTGGGAGGCAGAGGCAGGAGGATCGCTTGAGTTCAGGAGTTCAAAACCAGCCTGGGTAACAAAGCAAGACCCTGTCTGTATATTAAAAAATAATAAAAAAAGAAAAAAATAGTATGTAGAAAGAGTCTTCATCCACACATAACAGATGTTAATAGTTTATCATATTTGATTCTGATCTTTCTTAGACACATAAAATATCACAGATGAAGTTCAAGCCTCTATAATCCTCCAGTGTATTTGTTTTCATGCTTCTGATAAAAGACATACCCATGGCTGGGCAATTCACAAAAGAAAGAGGTTTACTGGACTTACAGTTCCACATGGCTGGAGAGGCCTCACAATCATGGCAGAAGGTGAAAGGCACATCTCACATGATGGCAGACAAGAGAAGGGAGCTTGTTCAGGGGAACTCCCCTTTATAAAACCATCAGATCTCGTGAGACATATTCAATCTCACGAGAATAATATGGGAAAGCCCCACCCCCATAATTCAATCACCTCCCATTGGGTTCCTCCCACAACACATGGAAATTGTTGGAGTTACAATTCAAGATGAGATTTGAGTGGGGACACACCCAAACCATATCACCCATATATAATTATTTTGAGGTTATTGTGTATCTAGTCATAGTTTCATACTTTTACTACTTATACATGGATTTATAAATAAATAACAGTGGGCTGTTTATTAAATTTCTATATGCAGTATCATATTGAAAATGGTATCATTTTACCACATTTGTTTTCTCTCAATATTATGTTCTGTGGAGAGGCCACATTTAGATGTTCCTGCTGACAGCCCCAGCTGAGGCATCACCCTACAGCCAGACTCCACCACCAGACATAAGAGTGCATGAGTCTCTTATACAATCCCACCCCTATTCCTTGAGCTGCTCCAGCTGATGCCAACTAGAGCAGAAACAAGCTGTACACATGGATTTCTGCCCAAATTATAGATTTGCAGGCAAAGTAAGTGATGCCATAGTTTTAAGCCATTAAGTTTTGTGGTAATTTGTTATACAGCCACAGCAATGTGAATGGCTTCTTCCTGTTCCCTGTCCTGGTTCTTCCCCTTCCTTACCTGTTCTCCCGAGAGCACTGTCTCAATAAATTATTTGCATATGAATTCAAGAGACCCAGGCAGAGTTATGGGATAGTCCACACGAACAGAGAAATTCACAACTTCTCTTAAAAGCTCTGTTTTCATTAAAACTGTATTCTTCTGCAAATCAAAGCCACAATGAGATACCATCTCATATCAGTTAGAATGGTGATCATTAAAAAGTCAGGAAACAACAGGTGCTGAAGAGGATGTGGAGAAATAGGAACACTTTTACACTGTTGGTGGGACTGTAAACTAGTTCAACCATTGTGGAATACGGTGTGGCGATTCCTCAAGGATCTAGAACTAGAAATACCATTTGACCCAGCCATCCCATTACTGGGCATCTACCCAAAGGATTATAAATCATGCTGCTATAAAGACACATGCACACATATGTTTATTGCAGCACTATTCACAATAGCAAAGACTTGGAACCAACCCAAATGTCTATCAATGACAGACTGGATTAAGAAAATGTGGCACATATGTACAAGGAATACTATGCAGCCATAAAAAAGGATGAGTTTGTGTCCTTTGTAGGGACATGAATGAAGCTGGAAATCATCATTCTGAACAAACTATTGCAAGGACAGACCAAACACCACATGTTCTCACTCATAGGTGGGAACTGAAAAATGAGAACACTTGGACACAGGGTGGGGAACATCACACACTAGGGCCTGTCATGGAGTGGGGGAAGGGGGAGGGATAGCATTAGGAGATATATCTAATGTAAATGACAAGTTAATGGGTGCAGCACACCAACATGGCACATGTATACATATGTAACAAACCTGCATGTTGTGCACATGTACCCTAGAACTTAAAGTATAATAATAAATTTTTTAAAGATCTTAATAAAAATAAATAAATAAATAAATAACTCTTCTGTGGTATCAGTCATTGGGCAAAATAAGCAATTGAACTAAAACGAAAAGGTGGCAAGAAGGAAGAAATATGCTCTCTGAATTTTCCTCTGAGTAAACACATTAATGGAGGAGTCAGAGAACCAAGAAGCACCCAGAATCACTGTTAACAACAGAATTATTTTGTAGAGAGTCCCATCTTGTAAAGGCAGTGCTTAAAACTTTCGCCTTAATAATCCTGAAAGAATCCCTAGGAGATTTTTTATCTCCCTCTCTCTGGTGGGGAAAAAAAAGAGCAAATCCCATTGCCCTCCTAATGTTTGCTCTCTAGTGAAATCACTGGGGTTCCTGTGAACAGGTGCCCTGCCAAACAGCTGGATACCAAGAGCAGGGAGGAGAGTGAGTATTAGTTCTGAGTCTCTAGTTCCACCCCTTGGAGGAAGAGCCTCTGCCAACAAATAGTTTACGGGGCAATAGAATTTCATTTGCTGATGTGTGTTGCTCCTCATAGAGATCTGAGCATTTCTTAGAAAATGACCTTCTCTTTACCCCCGGTGCTTGACTTTAGTCCAGTGACCTCAAGACAGCAACAAACAGCTGATATGCTTTATGGCAAGTATTTCACATACTAGGTCTTTGGAATGGATATCTCCTTCTGAAGTCTATTCTGCAGCCACTCCAGCATGGTGCATATTTCCAAGTGATTTTGACCTTGGCAAGCTCCAGTTTTAGAGTTCCTCTCAATGGTATCACTATCCAAGACTGCAAGTTCATAGACAAACCAACATCCTACGGCAATAGTCACATAATTACAGGCTTCTTTTAGTCTTCTACCAGGTCCCTTGGAAATAATTCAAAAATAATGAGCATACTTGGAGCACTGTGAAATAAGCCTTAGAGAATTTTCTAGGATGGGATGCATTTAAATTATTCTCCATCTTGGGGCTTTATTTGCATTACAAAATTCCTCCCACCTCCACCATGGAGGGCAGTTTGTCTTTCCCAGGCTTTATGTTTCCCCAACCATCTGGAAAATGAAGCTAACCTAGGAGACACTGGAGCCCTTCACAAAAGGCTGCTCTATTTCCCTCCTAAACTCACCTTGGCCACTGTCTCATGCCCAGGAGAAAGCCTTACGCTGACAGTCTGTCAAGAAGCTGAGCCTCTCCTGGTGTTCTTCCAATAGCAGTGTAACAGCACCCGTGGAAAACAAGATCTCAGGTCATCACCAGGGTTGCAAACTCCTGTGGCTCAGGAAAGTCCATCTGTCCTGTGCCTTCAATGGCCAAGAAAGAGAAGAAAATATTTGTATCACATGCAGTTGTGAGGTCCTCTGAAGCAGATTCCAGAAAGCTTTATGGAAGGTCACTCCCAGAATGGCAACCACTTCATTTGGCCCATCCCCATAAGATACCTTTAAATTCTAGCAAACCTGAAGATGTCTTTAGAGCTTTGGCATTTGGCTTTTCATTTGTTTTTATTTTAACCTTTTTTTTTAACCTTTGCCTATGTTTCCCAGGATCAGTTAATTTAATCTGCAATAAACTGAAGAACTATAAAATTCATGGCAGAGTTCAGCCTTAGGGGTCAAGCAACCTAGATTTCAAGCCCCAGCTGGTTCTGTATCTTAATTTCTATTTTTGTGACCTTGGAGAAGTTATGTCAACTCTCTAAGCTTCCATTTTCTTTTCTCAAAAAAAAAAAAAAATGTATAATTCTCTATAGAGTAATTGTGAACATTTCAGGAAATACTGCATGTAAAATACTAAGTTTAACACCTGACACCAAGTATGGATTCAGCTAATATTATCTATGTGAAGACAAATCCTATGAAACTCCATTTCATCCACTCATGCTCTGTCTGGAATATTCGGGACCAGGACTCTTCTATAAACAAGGGGGATAATCTTGTAGCATGTGGTGAAACCCCATTTCAAAGGCACTAAAGTAGGTATTAGACAGACAGACACACACACACACACACACACACACACACACACACAAATAGAATAATCTGGATGATCTCTTGCAAGCACTAAACCTAAAAGAGAATAGGCTCCAGGCCAACACACATTTTCTGCAAAATTGAAGATCCACCCCACAATATGTGCTATGTTCTTTAGACCTGGAAGCTTCTTTATGCTAGAGACCTCATTTGGGGACTCTTATGCAAATGGGATGGACAGGGTTTTGAATTGTATTATTAGTTGTTGGGGATTCTTTCTGCAAAGTTGTCCAGAAATACAGAGATTTTTTTTATTATGAAAAACTTCAAAGATATGCAAAAGTAGACAAAATAGTATAATAAACCCCTATGTTCTCTTTATTCAGATTCTACAACTATCAATTCGTGGACAATTTTGTTTCACCTAGACCCCCACCCACTCTTCCCAATCCTATTATTTCAAAGTCCATCCCCAAAATTATTTCATTTCATCCATCAATATTTTCTATGTGTTTCTCAAAGGATTCACATTTGTAAGATCTAACTATATATCACTATCACATTTAAAAGCTTAATATCAATTCTTTAATATCAAATGTCCAGCTAATGTTTAAATTTCTAATTTGTCTAATAAATGTCATACTACTTTAACCATATATTTGTTTCAATAAGAATCCAAATAATGCCTAATAACTGATTTATTTCTTTTCTGTCTTTTTTCCATCTATAGATCTTCCTCAATATTTTCCCTTGCAATTTATTTGTTAAAGAAACCAAACTGTTCCGAGTATCCCAGAGTCTGGATTTTCCAAAAAGCCTGCTAAAGGGTTCTTAACTTTTCACAGTTAACCTCTAAACAGGAGGAGGGATAGAGAAGCTGAAGAAGCTGTTAATCTGCTGGTGAGAACATTTTTATACTTTTCCTAAAGGCTGCTGATGCAATCGACAAGATCACTGTCATGTCAGTTGCAGGCTGCAGTGAGGAAGCCCAAGATTTGTTATGCCCCCAGGTCTTCCCCTATGTTCCTTCTAATGAAGACATCACAGGCACAAGCGCTCTGTGTACCTCATTATCACACACTGTTTTTCTTGAGACCCTGCTCCCTTCTCTCTCCCTGACATAGGCAGTGGAACTAAGGGGATGAAGATGTGGGTTTAGCAGCAAAAGGCAACAGGTGGGAGAATGAAAGGGTGAAGAAATAGGTAGATGAAGCCAAAAGCAGGGGAGTCCAGGATTATGGATGGATAGGATGAGCAGACAGGGTATAACAGGAGTGTCACAGCGAAGGTGGTGGCTCCGCCGTGATCACTGAGTCTCATGCCTGGTGATAAGGAATTAGGCCACTTGGGCTGGGAATACATATGACCTTTTCCTCTGCCGTGAACACAACCTCTGCTACCTCAAACTACAATCCTGTAAACAACTCAGCCATTGTAGGAGATGCATTATGACTTGAGTTGTTATGACAGATTAGATCTGGTTATGCAGTTATGGCAGCCTGTGCTAGGAAAGCTGTTAGCCTGATGGCTACTTTATTCTTCCCACACGAGAACCCTGCAGTGAGAACTGTTCCCCTTTTATATACAACAGTAAGATTCTAGAGCCTTCCCCTATGCTATAAAGGATCACATAAAAACAGCAATACCTTGCTGACAGAGAAATAATATAAAGCAGAGGTATATTTTCATAAAATAAAATGTTGATGCAATTCATGGACACTGAAGGTACACAGTCAGCCCTCCATATTCATGAGTTCTGCATCTGTGCATTTAACCAATCAAGGCTCAAAAAAAAATTCAAGAAAAATAATTGTTTAAAATACAAACTGTAAAATAATATAGTATAATAGCTATATATACAGCATTTACATTATACTCGGTATCCTAAATAACCTAGAGATGATTTAAAGTAAACAGGAAGATGTTCGTACACAGGCTACATGCAAATACTATGCCATTTTATGTAGGGGAGTTAAGCACATACAGATTTTGGTATCTGCAGGGATCCTGGGACCAATTGTCCAAGGATACCGAGGAACAGTCATCCTGTATCTTCTCCTTTTTATTCTCTTTTGTTCTCATAATAAGCTTTGAACATTAACAAATTTTTTTTCTCATGTAAAAATCCCTCACGAGAAAATAAAATTCCCTTCATGACACTAAACCCCTTCATGAGAAAAAAAAAAAAAAAAAACTGATGATCTCCACTTCTGGCAATGGTGGCAATGCTTGTTAAATGCTCACCTTCCCACTGAAAACAACTAGAACACCTGGACTAGATACTTTGTAAAATGTATTTGTTGGCTTCAGAGACCTACCAAGCTGAGGAAGACTTGAGGAGCCACATTCCTGGAGAGAAAACTGCAGAGAATTGAGTCCAATATTCATCACTGCTTTTGCCCTCTTGGTGTTCACAGGTTTCAAAGCAATAGCTAAAAGGTTGAAAGCCTGAGCAGAAAGTGGCAGCTGAAAGACTAGACAGAGCATTGATGGTCTCAGGTGGGGAGGGAAGCAAAAATTGGAGTTCCGAGATCACCAAAGAGAAGGTGCCCTGGTAACCACATTATGCTTTCAGTTGGGACTCCCACTGGCTATACCCTAGGCATAATGTTGAACAAAAATTAATCCAACCTCACAGAATCTGAAGCCTACCTTCAAATCATCTCAATCCCAGGTCTGATCAAGGTGATCTGCCCCTGGGTTAACTTCATGCCAGACACAAAACAGGTCCTCTGGAAAAATGTAACATCATACATAACTTCAAATTAGCTCTACAGTTCTTATATGCATGTCTAAGCATGCTAGGAGATGAGATCAAATAACCAAAAACCAACAGAAAAGAATAGATAATAGAAACAGACTAACACAAAATCAAGACATTTGAGTTTCACAGATTATAAAGTAATTGAGATTAATTTGTTCAAGATATTTTATGATGAAATGAAAAATATCAAACTGTAAACTTTTTTAAAAGGATCAAGTATAAATGCTAGAACAGAAAAATACAACAATTGGAATTAAAAATTCAAGAGTGGGGCTTAGCAGCAGTTAAAAAGATAATGGTTATATGGAAGATAGGCCAGAAGAAAATAGCCAGGCTGTGGGAAATCCAAATCTTAATAAACACAGTAAAATTTTGAAGGTCAAAAAAAAAGAGAAAATCCTAAAAGCAGATGGGACAGCGGTGGAGGGACACATTACCTTTAATAGAGTGACAATAAGACTGACAGCTGAATTCCCAACAGAAATAACTGAAGCTTACTGGACATGCCCCCAGATGACATTGGTGACCAATTCTTACTTTCTTTTTTCGCTTACAATTCTCTAGAATAACTATAGAATATGCTGGGAATGCAATGGTCTGAGATAAGGAAGAACTAGCCAGAACAGCCTGGGCTCTGTTCCAGTCCCTCCTGGAACAAGATCTCCTGCAACACTGTAGCACAGTGAGTCCAGTTTCCTCTGGTATAAAACTCAAAGTGGAACACATTTTCAGGGACCCTCAGCTGTGGCGAAAAGTGGGATAAATCCATCCTCCCTGGGCAGATTTCCTGAGCCTTAGGGAACCAGCTCATCATGAATCCTAGGTTTCTATTGTCCTCTGCTGCCTATCTGTGAGTAAAAAAGTTGCTTCACTTAATTTCTTGTGTTACCAGATTCATGCAAGTGAATTGAAACTAGTGCAGTGTTTAGAGTCCTTCCTTGAGATTGAAACCAGTACATAGTGAACATGCTTCACAAAGCCAGGAGACAATGGAATGATGCTTGCAAACTGCTGAAAAAAAGAACAGCTGAGTTTCCACTTCCAATATGGTAAAGTAGCTGCTACCATACCCAGATTTCCCACATATCACAACTATAAACTCTGGACAAAATTAGAAAAAATAAAAACCTGATGACATTGGAAAGTGAACAAACACAGGTAAATTGTGAAAGAAAGTAGACACTTGGAAAAAAGGAACAGTACGGGGTGAGTTGCCCATTTTTACAGCATTTTGCCTGAGTGTAGGCCAAAGTCGGTGCTGCACACTGTGGTTCTGATAGAACTCCAACAGCACACCTCTACCGCACTGGCTTGAAAAAAGCAGAAGACAGAGTTTACGATAATCAGCCACTGGAAGGGAGAGGGAAGTCTCAGAAAGGATACAGTCACAACGTCTGTGTTTAAACAGCACAAATCTCTGGCTAACACCCAAAGCACAAAACCACAAGGCAGATTCTAGCTAAGAGCTTTGAATACCTGTGGGATGATATCAAAATGTCCAACATACATATAACTGGATCCCAGAAGAAGAAGAAGAGACAATAGGACATAAAAAATGAAGAAATAA